ATGAACTCAAAGTCATATTTTGGCTCCTGTGGATTCTATTTAATTTTCCTCAGCTTCAGCTTAAACCTGCATATGAGTAATTGGTGGTCTGTACCACAATGACCTCCTGGCCTAGTTTACACAGCTAATATTGAACTACTTCAGCAGGTCTTTCCGCAGATGTAATCAATTTGATTCCTATGCATACCATAATACATAGAGAAAGGTTTAAGTTGTTAAGATTAAATTTGCTGGGATTCACAACCAACATCCATGGGAATATTAGTGAAAAAGTCAAAATACATGGTATACTGAACAAATGTGCAAAGGTCTCTTAAAAGTGCTAAATATTTATAGACTATAGTGTTATTATTTAAACACTAAGTTGTTTCTTCACCATATCAAGATATTTTCAGTTATTTCTCTGTATTAGAAAGTTGTACAATGAATAAAACATAATTAAAAAAAACTCAATGTCTTTGAATTGTGGTAAATTAATGAGTATTAAATATATTTTGAACTGCTAGCAGAACAAGCAAATTTGTCTTACAGAAAGCATAAACTAGGTACTTTTTGGAACAAGAATGATGAAACTTCATCTCTCGTACTTAGGAGAGGCCAGTTCTTGTAAAATGGACCTCATATTGAACAAGAACAGGTGGCTTTAGTGGTAAGGCAAATGCAAACTTAAAGACATGTAGTTCAAATACACTGGCTTCTCCACAGGAAAAAATATACAGAATCACCTCCTATGTGACTTATTTCATCTGCAAAACAACTGGAGGGTGTGTTATGGGTTGATTCTAATTAATCATACACAATAACAACAATTGAACAAAGAGAAATTCAGTGAATGTGTGGAGGGACCACAATGAGATGGATTAACATAATAACTGGAACAACGAGTCTGTGTTTGGTGAAGTCAGGCCATGGTCTTTTAAATTCCTTGTGCTTCTGAGAGCTGAACAGTGAATAAGGATGAGTGAATAAGAAACAATGTCTTTGAGCTATGATGTTGGAGAAGAGTACTGAATATCTGCCAAAAAGAACAAGCACATATATCTTGGAGAAAGTACACTTAGTCATTCCTCAAACTGAAATCATTGTTTATCTT